CACATCGGACTCCTGCAGTGCATAGCCTTAACGGTTATTTACCAAAGGTCTTTCAGGACATGGAGCCCTTTTTGAAAACGGTTTTTTGCATGATAAAGGGGCACATGCATGGAGTACAAAACTAGGCTCCATTTTTTCTGAGCGGCCCTCCTATGCCAAAAAAGGAGTGAAAAAAATTTCTTCAGAAATCGGAGTTTTCACACCTTCAACGTAGTTTATATCACTCGTTATGTTAAGTGGACGCACAATAGAAGGTTTTCTTCACCTGAACGTTGAAAACAGCGTGGAATAAAGCCAATACCAAAAATTGTATATAATAAGTGCTCAAAAGCACAAGGAAGTTTCATCAGAGTCGTTGACATTCATTGTACAGCGGTGGTCGGATGGTCGAGTGGATAGCGTGATGGACTCTGGTTGGCACGGTTTGTTCGAAGTTGTTGGTTCGGTTCCCCTCCATGCTCGGATTTTTGCATTTTTCCGATTATCACTTTTCTGCATTTACATGTGCTTGCGCGTGAACTTAAAGCCTATAGGTGTCATTTCCAAGAACTTTCTCCCACAATTCTGCGATATTTCGTAGTACCATGTTTTTTCAGTTGTGTACGAAATTCCGTTTACAAGCAATAAATAACTAGCAGTTGGTAAAACTCAATGAAGCATCTGAATCACAGGCGCGGATCACACCAACTGCATCTAACGAACGCCAGAAAAGTGAAGTTGTCATTTTCTTCGCAAGGAACACCTACTCCATTTCCCTTGAAGGCAGATTGCCGGCGTTGAGGAACGTCCAGGATGCTCGTCGACGTAGCCAGTGCCCACCCAGGCATGACCAGATCAAGGGGTGATGCCAGATTGTCCCATGGGCAGGAACTGCGGTGGAAGTGTAACTATCAACCAAACGTGTCGCTTGCTATCATCTCGAAGCTGTCTCCAAGTGGGAAGCGTGCGTGCCGTACTGACTATGGGCTAACCCATGGCCCAATTTTTGAATTCGGGCCGAAATCTTGATCTTCTCTAAAACTGCGGCTATAAGGGTAATTATAGGCGCTGATAAGTAAAAAAAAAAAATTATACGTCCATTTTTGACGGAGGCGCGATATTGCGCTATTTTAGCCCCTCGGGCACCAACTCGGCGCCGCTTTAGCGCCATACAATTTTCGCCCCAATTCTGGGCAGAAAGCTAATCAGAAAGGTTGATGATGACCCTGATTGTAAGAACAGTACCTATTTTTATCGGCGGTAACATTTGGAGTTATTTAACATGCGCTAACATGAAATGCAAAATTTTGTCATCAGCCGGGACCGATCCCTCGACCGATTTTTCATACCTTTTTTGGCATTAGGAGGGCCGCTCAGAAAAATGGAGCCAGTTTATTTCCATTACTGCCCAATCTCGAGAAACTGAACGGATTTTTATCGAAATCGGCCACTGTGAATTTGGCCAGAAACTTGTCTTCGGGGGTAATTGTCGACCCGTAGAACACGAAGAATATAATATCACATTTGTTTACCGCTAGAACGCCTGGCGCTCGCGTCAGAAGCGCCGGCGCCAAAAGGCGCCAGAACATCTCGGATCCCCAAATTCGCTGGAAAGTTGTCCTCAGAGGTATTTTGACCCGTAGAATATGATTATCACATCAGTTTGTTACGAGTGAACCTGTAGCCTGCGCTACGAGCGCCCGCGCGA